CACGTAATATGAAATATTTAACCTATCACGAAACGATGGTTTATTAATAATTTTAACCTCCAGACTGAATTGCGTTCACGGCGGCCCGTCTCGTAAGCACTGAGTACAATATTTTATTATTTAATATAGATTACAAGTAATTCTCATTAAAAATTATTTTATAACTTTTATTACTGGTTCAAAGAAAATGTCTGTCCTGGGGAGAACTAGCAAGAAACTCAGCGGGACTTTTTTTTCAAAGTTATTCATTAGTATTACTTTTTTATTTCCTTTTTTCTAAAAGTTACCCTTACACTAGAATTTTCTTATGTAATGTTGAGTCAGTTTACAAACACAAATTTCTTATGGACAAGCATTCAAACTTGAAACAATTATTTGTAGGCCATTCAAACACCTACTTGTTCTGTGCGGGTTCGAACCCGCGGCCATTAGCGCTGCATTAAATGTGTACTTATTGTACTGTATACTGTATAATTAAGGTTTAAATTATACAATAAGAACTCAGGTTGCATAAACTACTGAAAAATTTATTTAAAAAACAGCTTGGACGTGACCATCTCAATTCGAGGGGTTATTATCAAACATAAAGTTAAAGTAAAGTTACAGCCTATATACGTCCCACTGCTGGGAACAGGCCTTCCCTCATTTCTGAGAGGGTTTAGGGCAATTAAGGATCCGCCGCTCAGCCCCGATGCGTGTTGGCGAACTTCACATGTTTTCGATTTTTTTTCTTATTCCTCAGACATGCAGGTTTCCTCACGATGTTTACCTTCACCGCCAAGCACGTGGTAAATCAGCACTTAAAATTGCAATTAACAATTTCATTGGTGCCAGCGGGGATCGAATCCGGATTACTCGCGTTCTGTTATCAAACATGTATTCATTTATATTATAATAACGCTTTTATACAGTTTTTGTTTAATAAAATATTGAACGCGTATACATTGCCCCAAGGATAAATGACACGTGCACTTTCAATTCCTTCACCATTAAAGACCGGTGAGAGATCAGGCGCAGGACCGACGGCTTTACGTGCTTCCGAGTCATAGGGATAAAACACTACTAATAATAGGGATAGAATACTACCCGACGCCGGGCTGGTACAGAAAACTTTTTGATATAAAAACTCAATGATTGTTCATTTAATTATAATAACTGATTTTTTGTTCCGACCCGGGAGTCATACCCGCGACCTCGTGTTCAGCAACCCTGTAACAACCACTAGATCAACGAGGCAGTCAAACTGCAGTGATAACAATTTATATTATGTTTTTTTTACATACAGATGCGTCACAATACGCGCATTTCGTGTTCAATGCCGTAAAACACAAGCATGGAGGCAAATTAAGCTTTGAGGTGAGTTTACTTGTGTAATAAGAGAAGAGTGTGGTTTGCAAGATGATGTTGTGACCAGGATTAAGAAAGGAATGCTTCGGTGGTTTGGTCATGTAGAAAGAATGAATGAGGAAAGAGTGACAAAGCAAATTTATGTTGCAGAAGTGAATGGCAGAGTCGGAAAGGGACGTCTTAGGCGAAAATTTATCGAGTAAATTGGCGATTTATTGAAAACGGGCCAAATTAGGAGTACCCTTAACCGACGAGCATGTATGCGTAGGTGTATGCATGTGAAGGAGGCGAGAGAGGTGTGTCAGGATCGTGCCAAATGGAAGTCTGTAGTCTCTGCCTAGCCCTCTGGGTGACAGGCGTGAGTGTTTTATGTATTATTATGTATTATGTATTATGTGAGTTTACTTATGTGACTTGTAACATGGAATATTCGTCATTCTGTGGAATGCCCAAATATTTCAATATACCTAGAGAATAAATTAAAAATACAAAATGTTTTCGATTGAAATTTAAATACTCTATTAAAAATGACATACAATTATTATAATCTCAATAAATAAACTAAAACAAAAAAACTTTAAAAATCATGCACTCCTACTCCCCGCGGTATAATGCCAAGAACACTGACTTTATTTCAAATTGATTGATTTGTTAGAGCAACAGCTTTTAAGAAAGGCATGCGTACGAGAATCACATTATTTAATTACCCTCTCCCCTTTCCACCATCGGACGACTTCAGCTGGTCTTCCTTTGTGGTCAATATTTTACGTTATGGAAGCAAACGGTTTTCTTCGTCTTAAGAAATGCTTACAGCAAAGGGGTGGAATAATTTACCTCCATGCTTGTCTGTATTTACGTTCCATTTTGTTTGACATTGGGTGCCATGAATAAATATTTTGCAGGAATTTCTCGACACGCTGTCACGGGTTGCACGGGGTTCTGTCCAAGAAAAACTCTCCTGGGTCTTCGCGCTATACGATGTGGACGGTGATGGGCGGATCTCCAGGTCAGAGATGCTGGCTGTAGTGCAAGCAGTATATGAACTACTTGGGCGGGCGGCGGTGCCCCCCGTACTTCCGGCGTCTGCTAAGGATCACGTAGATAAAATCTTTGACGTGAGTTCATTTATTCAAAATGAACATTTGAATCGACACATGGTCATCATTCATTACTGCAGCCTGTCAAAAGTCTACTGCAGAACAAAGGTTAAACCAGTTGCCACGCTTCAGAAGCGGGTTGGCAATCGCAGTCTTTTTACCATCATTGAGTTGTTATCAGGAGGATAACCCGTGGTAGCTCAGCGGTAAATTTGGCAGTACGCGAGCAACCCAGGTTCGATCCCCGCCAGCACCAACGAAATTCTTAATTGAAATTTTAAGTGCTGATTTACCACGTGCTGGGCTGTAATCATCGTGAGGAAACCTGCATGTCTGATAAATAAGAAAAAAAATCTTCGAAGACATGTGAAGTTAGTGAACACGTAATAGGGCAGCGCCACAGACATTTCCTTGCCCTAAAACCCTCTCAGAAATGAGAGGTCTGTTCCCAGCAATGGGGCGTACATAGGCTGTAGCTTTGACTTTTTTTATAGAGAAGGGGGCAAACGAGCATGCGGCTCACCTGATGTTAAGTGACTACCGCTGCCCATGATCAACCGCAACACCAGGGGAATTGCAGGTGCGTTGCCGGTCCTTTAGAAAGGAGTAAGCTCTTTTCTTGAAGGTCACCAGGTCGTATCGGTCCAGAAAAATCACCTGTGGTAACTATTCCACATAGAGGACTTGAACAGGAAGATGACGTTGCCCATCTCCTGTTTCAATTTCCCTTTGCCGTCACTTACGTGATGATGAATAACAGTTGGAGTATACATTTTCTTCATTGGAAGCTGATAGAGTGACTATCTGATGAATTGTATTTCTAATGGCTTTCTGCTAACGCAGATGTTCAGCAATGGACTATTGATGAATAATAATAGATACTTATGATGATGTATCCATCGGTGAGTAGTTTATATCCGTCTCAAATGACCTCTATTTTTGGGGCTGCGTTAAATGTAATTCTGCTCGTGGTACTAAACACTTACAGCGCAGAAACATAGTATAGATTACACAGGTAATCTTGAGCGCATTGTTCTTGCTGATGGTTTTGAAAATTACGAATGGAGTGAGATTGATATTTGAAGCAGTGTGACAGGAAACAGACAAAGCTTAAATTATGATAATTATTAGAAGCTGGCGTTACTTTGCGGAAATCCATTATACTAAAAATATTAAGAATTACTTTGCAACCATCCGCTCAAAAAATAAAAATGATGTGTCTTACCAAGTTTGAAGAGCATCTCCTGCCCTCCCTCAATTTTGTGCACTAATCCCGTAATTTCACGTAATCCCTTTATTAAATTATGGAATGAAAAGTTTATTTTCCAAGAGTTGTCCGTTGTCGTTATTTATAACACAAAATAAACTAGCAGTTTTAACAGGTATAAGTGCGTAAGCCTTCCCAGAGCATTTCGAATCGTTCTTTAAAATTGCAATTAAGGACTACCTTCATACATGTTTGCCAATAATTTTTTATTAGTTTTCTTATTGAAAATATATTTTGTTTCAATAAAAAAGTAATATAATTCTACGTTTATGATCTCTAAAGGTGTTCAGTATTTATGAAGGATTTAAGTGTTAAAGGTTTAAGGATTTGCTTACAGGTAGATCAAGGGGGAGGTACTGTGTTAACTGAAACTGTGAGGGTGAAAGGCACAAAAGACTCATCATTTTAGTGATGAAATCTATATTTCAGCCACTTTCATAAACGGAGATCGAAAATTCGATCAAGAATCGAGATCTCGATCTCTAACGATTGGCTTCAGGAGTTACAAATTTCCTACTTATAGCCTATTAAAAGACCACTGCTGAATATAATCCTCCTCCATAGATTGCCATATGAGGATGTAGTTGCGAGGAAGTAGGATTTGTGACCAGGAAGATGCTGCTGCCCACTACCTGCTTCGTCACACGATATGGGGTGGCGAATTCTTATACATCTGGACTTAGTTTTAACTTTTTGTATAGTTCTTGCAATTCACAAAGTCGAGTGAGGTTTAGTCGTAGTTGCGAGCATACCGTCGCTGTGATCTCATGCTGGATACGTACGATCTACGTATGCGGATTCGTGTTTACCACAATTAAAGTCCACTCGACTTCGTGAATCGCAAGAACTTATGTAACCGTGGTGGAGCCATGTTGTAGATGTATTGTGGTTCTAGAATGAATGAGTTGGACTGACCGGGAAGGACCACGCTCTCATGCAGTAAGTACCATTGTAAAATAGCAGCTCAACGCTGCTATGTTTCGTATGTTGAGTGTAAAGAATCGGAGACCCCATTTACAAGAAATGAGACATTCAACAAGGACCTCTCAAAGGCGACAATGCATCTGCACTTTAATTCTTAATCAAGGATCGATGTAGATGTTTATGGGTGACACCTACCGCTTACCGTCAGGTGGGCTGTGTGCTTACTCGTAACATATGTTCTATAAGTGGAACATTGGTCCAGCTGATGGACACGAACGGCGACGGCGTGGTGAGTCCGGACGAGCTGGCGCACTGGTGCGCGCGCGAGCCGGCGCTGCTGCAGTCACTACAGACGTTGGACACGGTGTTGTGATGCGCGCCACCGCCCGGGAACGCAAGCAGGTTTGTTCTGCAGCAGTAGAGGTTGAAACACCGTCGCTGTCCTGTAGTGTCACGGCCAGTCTCAACGGAGACCAGCTACTCTGCGAATAACTCTGGGAATAAATTTTATTATCAAAAAAAAAATGAGGGGAAACATAAGCATGGCCGTCATTTGAATTCAACTTTACTTAGTAACTCATGTTATAAATATATCAGTAATTTATCATTATAATAATAATAATAAGTTCTTTATTTCCAAGAGGTTGTACATCAAGATATTTGCTTAACATTTAATAAAGCTGCATTTGTACATATACCTGAAACATAGCATCTGCAGCCGAACTAGGAGACCTATGCATCAGCTGTCAGCGCCCTATCCCCACCGTTAATTTATAAAAATATTAGGATGCAGCTACTGCGCAGAGCAGGGTTATAGTGCACGAGTGTGTGTGCCAGAACGGGTGCACTCTTTATTTCGTCGCTCTCCAAGTCCAATGGGACGGTTCGAATCCTGGACCTTATGATCAGTAACCGCGTTTTCGACCACTAGACCATCGAGAGAGTCTACGAAACCACATCAGCATTAAGCTGCTAATTTACGCTGATATATTGTCCTGTCCTTCCCCTACCTTACCTTTTACGTAGTAGAGCCATGCTGCAGTTATAATAGTAGCATATTAATATTAGTAGTCCCCGGTCGAGCCAACCTAGTTGGCTCGATCGGGGAAGGTCCACGCTCTCACAGAATACCAGCGTAAAATAGTAGCTTAATGCTGTTGTGTTTCGTATGGTGAGTGTAGAGAACCGAAGACCCTTTTACTGGAAACGAGGCATTCTATCTTAGTCCTCACGGGTGACAACGCATCTGCATTTTGATTTGTAATCGAGGTTAGATTTAGATGTCTGTGGGCCACAACAACCACTTATCATCAGGTGGACTGCGCACTCGTTTGTCACCCCATCCTATTAAAAATACCTTACCACTACCATATAAAAACTGATCAGCCCATAATCTTGCAATGGTGAACTGCTAGGCATGATCCGCTGCTATTGTAAGTAGGTTTTACTTTAATGAGTATGCGTGCCAAGTCGATTACCGTTCGCAGTAACAGACGCCTCACACCTTTGATGCTGCTTCCTTTTACAGATTTTTGTGATTTACATCTAACATACGAGACCCTATTTACTGGAAACGAAGTGTGCCATCTTTGTCCTTATGGATGACAACGCTTTTGGTTTCGGTTCCTTATCGAGGATAAATATATTTTGCCTGTCTGGAAGAATTTGCTATCAGCAATAAGACCGCATATTGCATATTTCGTTTGTATATATCTAAGTTATTTTGTATGGTGTGCAATAAAGATTATTTAATAAACAAATAAATAAATAGCTGTAGATGTGCATGATTTATGCTATGTTTGGCACCCTTATTCTAGAAAAAAATATTTTTCTTAAATATGAGACTTTTCCAACCATCCATCCATCAAAAATTTGGTATATGTAAGCGGGATTTAGAAATAGAATAGGGTGTACAGATCAAGTTTTTTCCATGCTCATTATCGCGGAGAAGTTTTTGGCCAAAAAGACTGAGTGGACAAGAGTGTGTTATGGTAAACACTGAACTCATTTGGGTTGAGCGCTGAGTGGTGGTTGATACAGACATTAAAGTCTCTTTATGGGGACTCCAGTGCTTGTGTTAAGATGAAAGTTTATCGACCAAATTGGCGATATATTGAAAATGAGCCAACTTAAGCATACCCATAACCGAAGAGCATGTATGCGTTGGTATATGAATGTGGAGAAGGCGAGAGAGATGTATCAGGATCGTAGCAAATAGAAGTCTGTAGTCCCTGCCTACGCGTCTGGATGATAGCCGTGAATGTTTATGTACATGTTACATGTATATATTAGAATTAAAGCTCAACGCTGAAGATGGGCCTCTTGCATTGTATTTGCCTCATTCGTCAAGCTTGGTACGAGGAAGCTTTGTCCAGACGTGAGCACTTTAACGGTGCTGTCCGTCGCCAGTTTGAGTATTTTTCGTTTGATGTAAATTATATGTTCATACCGCCATCTGTTGGACTCGATAAGATTTTTATGGCGATTTCCATAGTCGTCTTATAAGACACCTACACAATGTTGTTTTGGGGCACACTTAATTTTTTATTTTACGGTAACTAAACAATCGTAGAAGTTATAATGTTTTGTTGTATTTTAAGGAACAATGAAGCGCAGGCGTCCTGTTCTAAAGTCACCAATCCTAGTGATATCCCTTCTTCGCCCGCACGCCTTACGACGATGGTACGAATCACGTTTTTCATTATTTATTCCAAAAATTATGCACATTACTACAGTTTAGTAATGTTCTAAAGGGGATTTTCACTTTTTTCAATTTGTTATTGTGAAGAGTTTTAGGCTGTCTAGATTAAGTTCCTTTTAAACCTTGAAAATTTTTGATTATTTATTTAAGATTTATTTTTTAGTTAGCTGAAGAAGCAGCACCTCGGAAGGCGAAACGACGTGTTCAACAATCATTTTCATCTCAAAAGACGCGGTGA